AAAAAAAAAAAAAAAAAAACAACTACAGCATGGTATTATTTCACTCTAGATTGAATGGTTATGATTAAAAATACAAAAAATAGATATCAATGAGGATGTAAACAACACAATACTCTTCACTATTTTTTGGAGTATAGCTAAGTCATAGAACTACCACATGACAGAGTACTTCCACTACTGATTGTTTCCAAAGGAAATTAAATCATTATATCAAATGATAATTTACATTGTAACCTGTGTCTGTGTGCCCAAAGTTTAAGTAAGGGTAAATTTAAAAGTAATGGGAAAATTAACTTGATGGAAGAAATTTTAACACAATACACCATTCAGGCTATGGGGTGGTTACTGCTTTTTGTATCTATGAAGACTTTTTAGTGAGAATTCAGAGAAAAAAATGAATTAGAAATATGTGGAAAATGTGCACTCTGAAAACGAAAGGAATGTGAGCACATTTAAAACTCCAGACCAGGTAGAAAAGGGTTGTCCAGGCAAAAAGAAGAATTAATGTTTAAAGGAAATGGTGCCATTAAAAAGCAATTCAGCACTTTTCACTAGGTCATGTGGAAAGACGCTTGAAGACAATACTGAAATCACTGAAAGCTCCAGATGTAAAAATGAAAAACTATCATTTGAAGCATGCCACTGGGGTTTTAGCTGGGAAATAGTGCCTAGGGAAATGATTACCCCGATTCTGCCAGGAGGCATCTAAGCTTAGAAAATACTGTGGTCCAAGCTAGAAGCAGAATTTAGTGTCATCCTGATGATGCATGTTTGACAGACTCCCAGAATGCAAGACTCTTGAAGTAATGGGATTTTGCACAAAAGGCGGGAAAAATGGTTTGTGAGATCAGACAATGTGGTGAAGGATTGGATTCATGTATGGAGCTCCTGAGAGAGCTATAATTAAGGCTGGCATGGGGAAACTGAAATTGCATTGGGCCTGTACTATTTTGGATGCCAGGGAAGCTGCAGACATCTCCTGTAGCCATCCCTAGAGAAAGGCAGTGTGTGTTGTAACAGGAGCAAGATTGGGTCAGCTTGTTAGAGCTAAGAAGATTCCAGCCTGAGCCAAAGATGCTATACATTGAATTATAGGACTTAGTCTTTTCCTTATTGTACTTCAGCTGTGCTCCGGTCTGTTCCTACTTTGTTCTATTGTGCAATTCCTCCTTTTGGTTCACTTCTTTTGTTTTAAGACAGGATTGCATGTTGTCCAGGCTCTTTTCCCATTCAGCATATACCTGAGGATGAGTTCAATTTTTCATTCTCTGGCCTCTACCTCTCAAAGGCTGATATCATATGTGATAATCACCATGCCAGTGTATGCAGTGCTGGAAAGCTTATTCTGTGGAATTCTATTTTGGAAGTAGGTAATGTTTTAAAATTTTAATTTCACAGGGTCTTTCATCTCAAAAATAATTTTGAACTTTGGACTTTTATAAACTCTTAAGACTATTCAAAACTATGGAAAGTTTTAAAGTTGACCAAATATATTTTTCATTAAGATGTGGTGATGAACCTATGGGGATCAGGAGCAGAGGATCACAGTTTGTATCTGAACTCTCTCCCACAGATAGAAGATTCTTGTGCTTGAACTTTTTACCTCATCTGGTTCTGCTCCTTTGACAGGTATTGGAAATTTTAGGAGGTGAAACTCACACTCACTGGGGAAGTAGACCAATAGGAGTGTACCTTTGAATGCTATACCTATTTCTAGGTTGAGGTTGTGTTTTCTGTTTCTATTCCTGCATGTTCAGGTCCTCTGGCCAGAGCCACCTGTGTTCTGGAGGTTTGAATGAGAATGTCCCCCAATAGGTTCTAAGTATTAGGAAATTTTGTCATTTGGTGGTGTCAGTCCTCTTTTTTTTTTTTTTTTTTTTTTTTTTTTTTTTTTTTTTTTTGGCATTGTAGCCTTGCTGGATGAAGCATGTGGGAGGTACTTCTAGAATTCTTAACCCATGCCAGATTACCAGTTGCTCTCTGCTTCCTGTGCCTACTTGAACATGTGTTCACTCAGGTTTATGCTCTACCATGCATCCCCCACCATTATGGACTCCCTCTTGAACAGTAAGCCAAATAAACTCTTCCTTCTATAACTTTTATTGTCATGGTGTTTTATAACAACAGAAAAGTAGCTAGTACACCATGTCTTCCCCACTGTAACAGAATGAAATCCCCTAAAACTAGGAGCTGAAATACTTCTTTTTTACCTCAAGATGAATGTCAGTTATTTTCTTCTAATGATGAAGATCTAACACATGTTGTATACAGACATGTTAGTGAAGAAACTCCTTAAGAGGGTATCTTCAACTGTGCTCAGGGCTGTGAAGAATTTGAGTGCAAGGACAATTTGGAATTGACAATATGTTTTTCAAGGGTGAGTGGAGACATGAGTAAGAGAAGTTCTTTGGAAGAATTCATCATAAAGTGTACTTGGAGTAGATTCCAGGAAGATACCATAAAACCATGTGGAGAAAGGAGGCAACCACTATGAATTATTAAAACTCTGTAAGTCAAGATTTTTGCAAAAGAGTAAAAATAGCTAGAAAGTCAAGTGTATTACTTTGAAAAGATAATAGGTAATATAACTGCTTTGTTTTCAAAAGATACGTTCAAAAATGAATACAAAAGTAAGCATACAAAACAAAGTGTAGAAAAATGTGAAAATGAAGCTTGTGCTGGGAGTGAGAAGAAGCCGCACACATCCTTGAGGTAGGCTTGTGAGCTCTCCAATCCTAGCAGCAGGAAAATTGGAGGCCCTTTATACACAGTTATAGGTAAAAGAGGTGATCAGCATTTCAGGACTTATGATTACTCATTTTCTAATTTACTTCATAGATAAAGGATCATAAGATTAGAGTAAGGGGACAGGGCTCCGACCATTATGACCAAAACAGGAATGACTCCACTATCTAATAGAATTTTATATATAAAAGGTTTTATTATTATTTTTATGTGTATGTGTGTATAGCCTGCATGTAGGTAAGTGCACCCATGTGGTACAATGCTCATGGAGAACAAAAGAGGCTGTCAGATCCCCTGGAACCCCAGAACTGGAGGTACATACAGTTGTTAGCTGACATGTGGGTGCTGGGATTCAAACCCAGGTCTTCTGCAAAAAAGCCAGTGTTCTTAACTGCTGAGCCATCTCTCCAGCACCTATCTAATAGAATTTTAATCACTACTGGGACTTGTGAGGTGGCTCAGTTGGCAAAGTACATGTCTCATAAGCATGAGGACATGAGTTTGGATATCTAACATCCACATAAAAGCCAAGTGTAGTGTTTATGCCTGTAATCCCAGTGCTTCATGGGCTGAGACCAGAGGATCCCTGAGGATTGCTTACTAACCAGTATACATGTAAAAATTAGTTGTAGTTTTGCTGAGAGACTTTGTCTTTAAAAATCATGTGAAAAATGATTAAGGAAGACATTCAGCAAACATACATGTATGCATGTACTCACACATATAAGCTTACATACACAGAGATTGATTTTAATCACTACTGAAATTATCTAATTGAGCATAATTGTGTATTTTTAACAGATGAATCCAATTTTAAATATGGAAGAAACAGTGTATCAGTGTATTAGGCACAATGCAGCTTCTGCTTTCCCTGTAGAATACAGGGGAAATGAAGGGTACAGTGGCCAGGAACATTGAACAGGTAGAGCAGAATAATTGTTACAAAAATCCATGAAATAAAAGTGGGACAGTAGGGGGATAACAAAGGGAGAAATAATTATAGTGTCACTATTAATAAAATGGGTTTCTGTAACACATTGGTAGTATAGTAGTGTTCCTGGAATATTTAAGCTCAAAATTGAGCAGGTGAGACTCACAAAGGAAGGCTTTTGAATTTGAGAATGTGGAGTTTTTTAGGTTTCATATATTCAAGATGGGCATGTCAAACACACACAGAGAAATCAGGCAAATACAATAAATTACCATTTATACACTGTATGGATTTATAGAATGGAGAAAAAGTGAGAATTACAAGATGATAAAATGGATGAGGGTATATACTTGGAAGAACAGTAAATGACTGAAAATATAACTAAAACTATATTAAACTGGTGTGATGGTACATGCCTTGAATCCCAGCACTCAAGAGGAAGAGACAGGTGGATCTCTGTGAGATTGACACCAACCTGGTCTACATCACAAGTTCCAAGCCAGCTGGGGATATAAGGAGATCCTGTCTTCAAAAAATTATCAAATTATGAGTTATCTCCTGTTTTTAAAAAGACAAATTAATTGCATGACATGGGTACACTCACATACATGCAGGCAATACTCATACACTAAAAATAATAAATAAAATATATTTTAAAAAGACAAATTATAGTCTAGAGGGGTTTGGATGCCATAGCCTACAGGAGAAATACAAGCCTTGGCTTCCAGACTATGGGTTTATGAGATCATTTTCTACTTGGTCTCTAAAACTAAACAGAATAAGAAAACAAAATAAGAGAAGAAGGTACAAGTCTACGGACTAACTCTCCGACTCTATAGTAAAATCTTGTCCCCCATTCTGGAGGAAGCAATGTGAATGCACTTAGACTACTGGGGTTTAGGAGTGATGTGGCAGGTGGCAGTGACTCCTGTGAACTTCTAAAGCCATAGTAACACCTTCAGGTTATAGATGTTTTTACTTATATATGAAAAAAATAAGGATGAAGTACTATATTTCTTATGATAATAATAGCACATGAGTTCTATAGTCACAGAGGAATATTTGAAGGGAGATAGAAAAGTAAAAGTGAC